CTCGGGTTGAAATTTAATTTCTATCCCTAAGTGAACGTAGACAATTGTGATTCATTCTCGCTTAACGTGAGAAATTCGTTGCAATGACGTCAGATTTGGGCGTGTTCCAGTCACCCTGTCTGATCGACGTCAAGGTGTAACTACTGGTCGGGTCCGCACCCACTTTTGGCGCCGCCTTTATAATCCTCGGGTTAATAGAATTTTACCGAGTGACGGGCAAGCTCGATATTCTTATTTCGAAGGCGCACGGCTTTTTGCGACAACGTATTCGCACGAGATCTAGATGACTCGCGAATGTGCCGTAATCCGTATATATCACTTTGACGTTCCTTTGCTGTCCAGGAGATTCGCAGAAATTCCTCGGGTATGCGAAACACGTTGGCTAATAATCGCGGCAGATACCTCTTATCTCGTTAACTTGAGGCCACTGAAAGCGAAACAAACCGTCCAACCAATGAGATCATTTGATTTTATATACAAAACGAAATATTAACGACCGAATTTTATATACAATACGTGCACTTCGTTCGTCAAGGCAATTAAATATTTTATTACACATACACGGGGGGGCACTGATTTCAATTACCGTAGTCCAAAGTTCGTTCATAAGAGTCTGGATTTTTGAAAAATAATTATGTAACATGTTATCTAATATTGATGATAAAAATGTCGGTCGTATAAATGTGTCGAACGTTCAATCGGCCGAAAGACGTTCGAGTGGACAAAGAACATCGTCGGTCGGACCCGATTGAAGGTTGTCTGCTTACTCAACGGCTTACCTACTGCCAGATCGCAACCCACAGAAATTCGGCTGAACTAATCCCCCAGTATTAAATTTTCCCCGCGAGGTGACATCACTCGAGATACCGAACCTCTGAACCACCGAAGAGCTCAATAGGAATTTTTTTTCAGAGGCCCAACAATCCCCAGTTCGAATTCCAAGTAAATGACAATTAGGCGCAATCCCGAGCGTGATCGACACCCGCGTGTCCCTCGCAAAATCCGTGGGTACGCCGTCCTATATTTTTGTTTTAAACGCTCCACCAAGAAGTTATGAATAATTCACTCTAAAACACGCAACACGCGAAGAGATTCTTCTCAATAGATCAGGCGTTAGGCGTGAAGATCTGAGAAGCTCTGGAAGAATCAATTCAAGGGTATCCTCGAATCGACAAAGGCTCGCATTGAGCCGGCCTGGTCTTGCCCGCTCGCGCATATTTATTTGTCTTTCCTTCTTTCCATTTCTTTCTTTTTTTTTTTTTTCTTTTTTTCGTCCGCCAACCTAACTACCGTCGAGGAGCCCGCGGCCGTCAAACTTGGCCCTGACCAACACGCGGACGGAGCGTGTACATCTCGAGGCAGTCCGGATCTTCCGTATCGCTGTCATTCCCAGGAGAGGAGGGAATATCTCCCTCGGAAGCCCTCTTCGATGTGCGACCTTCGGGTCCGTGTCAGCGACTGCGCCTGTTTGGCATTCACTAGGACCGTTAATTGACAAGGCTCGCCTCCTCGGGCCTAAAAAAGAGGGGCCTTGCCTCGGAGGACTCTCGTGTCTCAGGCTCCGAAAAGAGGGCCTCGCTCGAAGGACTCCCGCCTCAGGCCTTAAAAAAAATTAAAAAAAAAAAGGCCTCGCTCGGAGGACTCTCGTCCGAAGCCTCGAAGAGAGGGCCCCCAGCGACCGAATCGACGGGCATTCGCCACAAGAAGACGAATCGAGTCCCCGATGGCAATTTATCGGCTTGCCGGGATTATTGGAAGGCTCTGTGACAATCGACACCCAGGGTCTCCCTCTTTGACGGCGGGCAAGGGCCGCGGACGGACCTCTCGCTCGAAATCACTAATCAGGGTCTGGCCAATGTCCGATATTCGCCTCGATCCCCAAGCACTGGCTCCGACCTGATAACGTGGAATGCAATTCCGCACCGATATTCCGCGTCCTCCCAGAGGTCCAATTTATTCTTAATCGTTGTGTGTCCCGATTGTTTGCGGGGAAATTGCATATCCGACATCCCGCGGAAGGCTATCTAATAAAAAGTGTTAAAAGAATGACGAATATCTCTTGAGAATTAATCCTATTCCAAGAGATCATATATCCCGTTCGGAGATTCTACAAAGCTAGCGATCGATGATTAGTTTTAATTGCTCGGTTGCCATTTCGACATTGCGAGCAATTCAATGGATTCTACAAAACTAGTGATCGATGATTAGTTTTAATTGCACAGTTGCCATTTCGACATTGCGAGTAATTAAATGGTACACGCGTGACCGGAGTGTCTCCTCGTACATGGTAATGCGCCCTCGAAGAATTACTGCGAAGCAGATGAGTTTTTATCGTGCTCTTGCCGCAGTTAAAGGAAAGTTGGCATTTATTACTCTTATCAGCGTTCAAGTTTCCGCGAAAGTACCGCACGACGCATGCGTGCCGTTCTATTGCGTCGCGCGACGCGACGCAAACGCATTGCGGTGCGTTTTCCCCACGTGCGACGTAATAACTCTGGGGAAACAATTTATTCCGGTACTTAGAGTCAATTCCGTAAATAGGTAAAAACTGTACTCCGTTCGGATTAAACAACTCCGCGGTTTAATAAAAAGAATTAACGTTAACAGAAGAAAAGAAAGGCAATACGTATCATCGATTTTACCCGCGAACCGAAATATATATCCAGACAGCGTCGCGATATAGCCCTCCAATCGATTAACCGCAGTTTCTTCGGTCACCGTATATCGACAGCCAAAGACCTGTATACATTTCCCTCGACGAAATTAGAATTCCATTACTTCTGGGACAGACTTCATTAAAACGTACGTGCCGCGTCGTCCGTAGCCATTTCCAATACCCTCCCTTTATCAATCCACCTTATCATAAATTAAAAATTCCCCCCCTGTAACTTTCCTCGGACATAACCTGCATTCGAGCCTGTACAGTTATTAAAAAAAAAAAAAAAAAACATCCGCAGCGTTAATTCCTTTACAATTATTCCCACGTGTATACGATAAATAAATACGATTCCTTTACAATTATTCCCACGTGTAGATGATAATTCCCTAGGCGCATCTCGCCGTGGGTGAAAACACGGTTTCCCTCTCCGTTATTCAATTCGGGATAAGGTGTATATCCTAGAGGTTCTTAAATCTGATCAGTACGCGTGCGGAATAAATCGCAGTAGGCGAAGTTCGAGGTTAGAGAGCCCGCCACGTGGGGCGCGGCGGTGCTCCGGCGAAATCAATCGTGCGTGTTGCGCAGGGGTGGCCCCCGTTCGCCTCGGCGGAGAGAGGAAGAGAGAGAGAGAGATAGAGAGCAAAGGTTCCAAGATGGTCGCCCGGCCCGCCAAGTGGCGCGGAGGAAAGGGCAAAACTGCGCGTTCTCCTCTCCTCTCGATAATGTACGCCACGGCCGCGAGAGGGCGGCCGCGCGCATGCGCCGCTAGTCATTCCGGGCTCGCTCAAGGTTACGGGCAACCCGGGGCCGCCGCGGCGCGCGAATTCCCCTCCGTTATGGGAGATCGCCCCCTGGCGGCCGAGCGGCTACCATCCGGGATCAATATTTAACCCGGCAAATTAGTCGGCTACGCTCCAAGTATTTAGCCATCGACACTCGTCCCCCCAAAAATCGCCTTAAGATGATATGAAAGGGTCTTCTATATATAAAACGCATAAATATTTATAAAACTAGTTGTCACTCCTTTCGCTGAGATTTAAAAATCTTGATTGCATAAAATAAAAGCGGTCGTGCTAAAAGAATATATATGTATATATAGGTCGAATTGAGAAACTCCTTTTTTTTTTTTTTCAAATCGGTTGAAATGTCAGTTATATTCCTTTCAAAACATTCCGCAGATTGCCTTTAACGGGTTTCGGCCGACTGGTAAACCCCGTCCTCAGAATCAACAACAGTATCCGTGTCAAATTATCGTAAGGAAATAAGATTAAGGAAAAATAACAACACGAATGCGTAACAGTCACCGTGCAGTTCGTCGCGCGAACGAGAACGTAACGTCCACGTTTTTAATGTGGATCAGGAAATAAATACTCCACGGAGGAGTCCGCGATAAGCTCTTGACTGCAATTAGTCATGGGCGAAACGATTCCTCCCAACGTAATCGGACATTTCAGTTGGCTAGACACTAAATATCGGTCAAACTGAATAACCGTGCCGCGCATAAACGTTACACATTATTTCTCGTCAGTTGTCGCGACGTATTTCTTACGTTTTCGCCCCAGAGGATTTCCTTACGCGTAAAGAAGTCCCCCGTCGTGTAACGAGCGATTACCGAGAAACATTATAGCGGTTAAGGCTACAGAGGAGAGTAGCCGAGAAAACGAGGGAAGAAAAACATCCCAATCGGATTCAAATCGGATGAGAAAATATTTCAATTAGGCCGGGAGCTGCAGGGGAAAACGTCGATCGAAGTCGCAGCGCTTTCCCGGCTCGGAGAAAATCTCTTTCCGGATTTCCTCCCCTCTCTGACCCAGCGTCATCGTCCACGTACAAAGGCCGAAGCACACTTACCCGCCCCGGAAAAAAATCCAGGATCGGATAAGCGCACTTCGGCTGGAATCGGGCCGGATTGTTTTTGCAAAAGTTTGGAGCACGCGTCGTTGGGGAAAAAAAAAAACAAAACAAAAATTTAGCCCTGGAATGCGAAGGTGAGGTGACTACTTTCACCGACAAAGCTCCGGATTGACCAAACATGCGACAAAGGAGGAAATTTAATGTGTGAATACAGATTTAAATTATAAAAAATCTCATATTCGATCCTTTTTGATATGAAGGCGCTCGATTTAAGAGTCTAAAGGGTGATAGAGATAAATTCAACGTGACGTATAATTTCTACTGATTTGAATGTTGAAAATTCGCGCGTTCGATGTTTGAAAAATATCGATTAGGGAAGGGCGTCGAAATGCTGGGGAAATATAACCGCATAGACCGGAGGGCGGTGAAATGCGCGCTTGGCCGGCCTCCGAATTTCTGCCGATAAATGGTTCTGCGATCAATTTACCGGTCGAGGGACAATCCTGACCGACAAGTGTGCGCCGTCTCGCGTGAAACCACGTACAACGTTCCCTGGGCATTGTTTCCGGGCCGTTAGGGTCCGGGTACGTGCGCTTCGACCTTAACCAGGAAAAGAGCCAACTGCGCATTTTCGGTCAGCTTCTACGCCGCCGCTCTGGGTCACCGCGACGCAGGCGTAAAGGCGCCGACCGCGACGCCACTTGCAGCCCTCTAGAGGGAAATTAATCCCGAAAAGTGCGCAGATACCGTTAATCAGGCTGAAGGGTCTATACTGGACTTCTAACCTCGCAAACGGGATCGAAATGTTCGCAATATACGAATCCGCGGGATACCAATGAGATCTGAATACCGTCGCGGAAAAGATTAGGCGAAAACTGCCGACGTTCCTGTTGCCAAGGCTTCAAGGCAGACACCCCGAAGGGAGGCACGTAATACACGAGAGCCACAATTCCCCCGAGCAGGTGCAGATCGTCGCGCCACCCTCGAGACCTAGCCGGTATATCTTCTCGAAACGTCTCGAGAGAGACGCTTCGAGAGGGCCACCTCGCAACAGGGATTTCCAATGTATATAAGTAGATACGTAGCCGGAAATATATATATATATATATGTACCTGCGCCGAATCGTGGGTTCCAGGTCCACCAGTGGGCCGGTGCCGGGCGGCGCCATGTCGCGGCTTCCCGCCGAAAGTTCCCGGCTTCCCGCGCACTCGCACTCGCGCGCTCGCTTCGAGAACCTTCCCTCCGGTTTTCCTCCCGAATCGCGGATTTTACTTCCGAGCCCGCTCCGTCGCGCCCCTCCGCCTCGTTCTGCCGGGCCCGAAGGGTCCGCGCGAGACCGCAGCCTCCGCAGGGTCCCCGGCCAAGGCTCGCCGAGTTCTAGGTTAGGTCGCCGGGTAACTCAAGGTGGAGGTCGGCTCGGCGGCGGGCGCGCGCCGGTACCCGCATACGCGAGCCGCGCGCGCGAGCAGTTAGGCGCGCAGCCGATTGGTCGCCGACTGCCGCCGAGCGCGGGCGACGAAGCCGGCCAGCCGCGCTGCCTTGGCACTGACAGTGTCCCTCGCGCCTAGCAACACGAACGCTAAACTGTCGACGCGAGCCTCGCGGAAACCAGCCGGCGAGCCCCCTCTCCGCCCGCCGGGACCCGTCCCCGGCCCCACCCCCGCACCGGCCCGGCGAAACCGCGAGCGTCCCTCCTGTCGGGGCCGCCTCCTCTTCCAGTCGGCGTCACGCTACTCGCCACGGGATCCGAGATGTGCAAAACATCTGGGCGAGATCCGAAGGAACGGCCGCGAGAAGATATGCCTCTTGATATATCAGGATTTAAGGTGATACGAAAGGACCATTCTATACATATCGAAAGTCCAAATATTTATTAAACTTCAAACTGGATGCCCCGGGTCATTTGAAAATTTACCACGTGATCATGGACGCTCTAAGAAGAAACCCGATGATTGTGAAATTTTAATAAAGAATCGTATTTATCCCAGACCGGACTACTTTTTTTATTTTTCATTTTTTTCAATGAAATTTCACGTGCACCGCCTCCATAATCGCGGACTGAAGTTTCAAATGATCCGGTGCAAACAGTTTGGAGAAATGTTTTATAAATATTTTTTATAATATATATAGAATGACCCTTTTAGTGCAACAGCCTCCGTCCGAGACGAAACATTACCGCAGAATCCGTGCGACCTGTAGGGCAGAAAAACTCTCTTAACCTAAATAAATCAATCCCCCCGATAGAGGACTCTTTGTCATTCAATTTATTACAGCTAAAAGCATGCAGTCGAACCGAAGGGTCTTTTTCTTTCCAGCGCATGTCCTAATTTCCCCATCCTCCTCGTAAGGACGACTTTTAAACCGGCCTCGAACTGAAACGGAAAAACGAGCAAAAGCATCCAGGAAAGGTGTAAAATCTCGAAGTTTCTCCCCCGAGCGAATTCCATTAGACGTAGAAGTCGCTCAGAATTTAGCTGAAATTTAGCTCGGTGGGTGGTGAGCGACGGCAGGTTAATTCGTGACTGGCATCGTGGCGCAGCAACGTCCCTGATTAGTTGGGACGTCATTTATCAGATTAAACGGATAATGCACGTTGTCCGCCATCGATCGAGCGGAGCATCCTCCCTCTCTCTCTTGCCCCCTCTAACCCGTTCGTCCTGTCATCGTCCTTTCTCGTGCATTTCGCGAAGGGCCGTAATCTATACGTTACGTGACGCACGGACATCGATCAAATTCCCCCGATTGGACGCTCATTAAACTCCCTTTTTTTACCCGAGTCCCGAAGGACTCGATGTCGATGGTATACGGAGCTTAATGCGGAATGTGAAAAACGATTTTCGCGTTCGCGCGGTCTTCGTTGCTGCCGTAATCTTGAAATAATCATAACCGACCTGCGACGGTTAAAAAAAAAAAAATACGTTCAGAACAGTTTCACAGCTTTCAGCGCGAAGCATATGCCCGTTATGCAGATCAGCTGATTATCTCTCGGATTATCTATTCAGGGAAAAGAAAAAAATTCGGTTGCCTTAAATTTATTCAAGTGACGCCATGTTGTTCCTTTCTTCGCGCGTTAATGAACATCCAGATCTTTCCCTTTCGTTCGGGGGGAAATTAAGAAAAAGGAGAGGATAGTTCGTCTGCGTAATCTGGTTATACTTTGCTCGCCGTCAAACTTCCTGGGTATGAACTATCCTATCATTTTTTACATACTCTAATATCTTTATTATCGTAGTGGGTACACTAATTATTCACCCCCAAAGGCCTTCGACGTGACATAGCGGGTTGACCGTTATCAGCCTTAAACGCGAATAAAAATGAACATTCGAAAATGATATCAAAGTGACCATGAAACGTTGCACGCAGCAACGTTAGATCGTTAACGTTAGTTCCGAGGAATAAATGTTTAAAAATCTGCAGTGGCGTCTTTTTTGAAATAGTTTTTTTAACCAATCAATTACGATCTACGTTCTTCTTGGGCGTTAGTATCGACCCTCTTTGCATAAACGATTTCCATTAATAATATTTAATTTCAACTTATCGAAAAAAGGCAAATCAGCGGCTATGTTTCCGACTTGGCGAAATTAGCATTGAAATCGCCGCTTACTATCATTGGTACCAGCCAATAATTACTATTTACACTCGTCTTTCCGCATTAGAATCGATACGATTTGCATAAATGTTTTTGTTGTATTTTTTGTCATTACTATTTATCCTTCTCTTCGTACATTGGCATTCTTAGGTACGTCCAGAACAATCGTCACGTGTTAGGGAATTTCAGAAAAGGAAAAAAAAAGACATCAAGAATAATCAACATTCTACTAAACCTAGAAATTTTACTTTGGACGTATGGCGGTATGCACGGATTTCATTGTTATTTTTTATTAATCTATCGGCTATCGAGCGCCAAAATTAGGTCGTCTTGGTTTGTGAAGATCCTCGAGGCTGTCTTTGAATCGACTTTTGGTCGGAAGAGAGCCTCGGTGGTACGCACTGATTTATTTTTTATTATTTTATCGACCATCGGGCGCCAAAATTCGGTCGTCTTGGTTTGGGAAGACCCTCGAGGCTGCCTTTGAATCGACTTTTGGTCGAAAAGAGAGCCTCGGCGATACGCACAAATTTTTTTTTCATTATTTTATCGACCATCGAGCGCCAAAATTCGGTCGTCTTGGTTTGGGAAGACCCTCGAGGCTGCCTCTGAATCGACTTTAGGTCGGAGAGAGAGCCTCGACGGTACGCACAGATTTCTTTTTTATTATTTTATCGACTATGTATCGCAAAAATTCGGTCGTCTTGGTTTGAGAAGATCCTCGAGGCTGCCTTTGAATCGACTTTTGGTCGAAAAGAGAGCCTCGGCGATACGCACAAATTTTTTTTTCATTATTTTATCGACCATCGAGCGCCAAAATTCGGTCGTCTTGGTTTGGGAAGACCCTCGAGGCTGCCTCTGAATCGACTTTAGGTCGGAGAGAGAGCCAAGAGACCGAGAACTCGGTCGGCACACACCACAGATACTCGATTGTGCGCTCGTACGGACATATCCGCGAGGCGGGGGCGTAGAAGTTTTGAAAACGCCGCAGTGACCTTCACCGATATGGCGACCGCGAGAATACCGACCGATGCGACGAGACTTCCGAAGCCCATTCGGAGCGACACGTGCCAGGCCTCGCGCTCGCCTATTCGCCTCGATAACTCCTATCTACCTCCTCTTGTCGACGCGCGTCTCTCTCCCTCCGCGTAGCTACGTAACTCGCGCCGGTCAGACTCGCCGAGTGTGAATAAAGCCGATAGCGTTCGGAAAAGCGATACGATCGGACGTAAACAGTGAACGATAATGTGTCTTGGATCGCGCGATACAGGAAACGTTATCTGGATCCTGAGGTTGAATGGATCGCGGCGATTCGATGAGGTCTCGATTACGGAGGAAAAAAAAAATAGAAAAATAGCAAAAATTGCGAGATGGACGAGGACACGCAGAAAAATGTTTCCTCGAATGTATTCGATTCTTATTGATTCGACCTTATGGCCATTATTTGGACTACCGAATAGTTGGTTGATTTGGCTAAATTCTTCGGTTAATAACGACCGAATCAGATCTGACCGAAGTCTGAGATCTCGGGGCACGATTCCCTCGTGACTCTGGAATTGGGATATGACGTGGCTATTTATAGGACATAAACAAGAGTAAGACTGCCCTGTACCATTTCGCGATAGTTGGGCTCGGAATGATATGTTTAACCCGTGGCGACTCAAGGTCGCGCCTTTACTCGGTCGGTAATGCCGCATCTCGACGAGGCTCACGTCCGAAATAGACCCGTTCATGTGCACGGAGACGGCGGACGATGCTGAATCGCGAATGAGAAAATAATTTTATCCGGCTATAAGGGAGGGTCTTGAAACCCGTTTAATAAATTCCATTACGGACATTTTAAAAATTCTTTATAAGAAATGAAATTTCATGGGTGTCGAGACTTTCCACATAGTCTCCATGTTTACATTGTGGAGTTTCAAACGTCGCGGTAATTAGCGACCTTATTTAATTTTTCCATCGTATAAAAGTCCTGTCGTTAATAGTTGTTACTCAAATGAAATGTAACTTAAAGTTTTATCCCAATTCGTCCATACGATTCCGGGTGCCCAGTCACGCGACTTTGAAAACCGACCTCAAAGTTCAGCCACAATGTTTCGTCCACGCATACGTAACGAGGAAGTCACGTGGCCACTTCGTCGTTCTCCTCTACCGGAGCAGATATATTTTCCGTTTTACGCTTTTCGTGGCCGACAACTCGCTCAGGGATCGCTCTCGGATTTCCGAACTCGCTTCGCCGTCCCGGTCTTATGTAATACCGAGATGTGTATTTAAATCCGCGACGAACAAAGAGAATCACTCATACGGATCTATCGGGAATATCCCCAACACAAGATCCACATACGACACGTATCCAATCGCTCTACGATCCTGTGAATGAAAAATTGTTACGATTAATTGTGCCCATAATTATGAAAGTGGTCTAAGTCATATATTTTTTGTTTCGAAATTACATTGAATTAATTTCGTTTGAAATAATATGGCGTGAAATAACTGATAAACTCATTTTTTTTTTTA